AGTCCATCACATCCTAGGTCACATAGGTTCATATGACTTCACATGAGTGCTTATGACTTATGCTAAAGTCACAGGTTCATATGACTTCATAACAGAGTAATATATGATTCCATACAAGACAAGAACCTAAGACTCAGAGTTTTTCAATCATATAACCAAGTATGTTTTATTCGTAAACTATGACATATTTTTATCCTCTTAGACCAAAACATTTTGTACTGTAGACATAAGATTGTAGATTTCGTGATGGTGGCTTTCCGACGATAGATTGTAGATTCGTAAACTAAGATTGTAGATTTCTTTTTGCTATACTCATTAGACAGTAATTTGCATATTTCACGATGGTGGCTTTCTGACGATAGATTCTGTGAATTTTTCAACAATTTTCTCTGTGGTTGTTTTATGAAGATTATTTAATATTTATTTCAAAAGGCGCCGGCCGCTGGTCAAAGTAAATATGTCTCATGTCTAGGTAGCAATTGGTTGATGATAAGTGGTAATATATTGGTCATGTTTGGTAAATAGCGTTGTAGCCTAAAATTGGTTGGTTTAACCGAATTTAGCGTTTTTAGTCGGCCAAAACACTGAAATTAAGTGCTTGACATTCTGGTCCAAAACACCGCTAGAATTTGGGGCGTTTAGGGTTAGCGAATTCTAAATGCGTAATATAATTAAACCTTAAGTTTACTCACCGTATTCTTCACTTCGGCGGACCTTTCCTATTCTTCTATATTCCACATACCTTCGCTTTTGAGCAAAAGTATCGCCACGTACGTAAAATAATTTGCAAACCCTCGTATTTTATGCCATGATTTTAAATATATTGTATCGTTGTACATGCATGTATATATTTATATATTGTATGTATGTGTGATTATAGATAAGTATATGGTGTACATGTAATGATGTAAAATGTCTGCAGACCTTCACTGTTTTTATACTCCCTGCATCCCGAAAAGGTTCTTCAGATTGACTTTTCTTGGTCAATAGTAATCAACTTTGACCAATGATATTTTTAATACTAATTTTTTTTTATATGAAGGTTATATCAAAATGTTCCTTATTCAAAATATTTTCATAAAAGTATAAAATTTATAAATTACTCCCTCTGTATTCTAAAGTTTGCTACACTTTCTTTTTTGGGATGTATTTAAAAGTTTGCTACACTTTCCCTTTTTGGTAAGTTTTTCCTTTAAAAATACTCAACTACCCTTACTTTTTCCACTATTTATCTTCTCTTTCATACTTTTACACACTCTCTCCTACTTTTTATACACTATTCATTACCCCTACTATTTTATCCTAAAACTTTTTGCCCAAACCTAATGTAGAGAACAATTAAATACGGAGGGAGTATATAGAAATATAATAATTAAAATCATTGTCCAAAATTTGCCATCATTGACAAAAAATCAATATGGCGAACCAATTCGGAACGCATGTAGTATTATATTGTATGTGTGCTTATATTGTATGTATATATATATATATATATATATAATTCGATTGGATGTGTGCTTATATTATCCGCTACATTGTATGTGTGCTTATATTGGAACTGATACTGGTTTGTCAAGATTTTTAATTCGATTTAACAAATCAATTTTTATAGAATTTAATTTTTGTTTGTTTCTAGAAACCCAAAAATTGTCCAATTTATTAGAAATATCTTTTTCTAATGATAAAAGGGGTATCTTTTTTTTGATTATTTGAAAAAACGTTGATAAACTTATCGGATGGGTAAAAGATATATATATATATATATATATATATATACATGGATGTAGATGTAGATGTAAAATATAAGCGTCCATTACTCCATTGATTATACAAAGTATAATTTTACTTATTACGTAGGGTTTGTTTGCTCAGTTAATTTTTAAATCATTAATTAATTCACGTATATACGGAGTATTAGTATACATAATTATATCATACTCCGTATTAAACAATAAAGAGACATACACCTAAATTAACTAATGACTTTTTTTGTCTATTTATCCATTAACCGCTAAAAGTAAACAACTAATATACAAAACATCTTTCTGCAACTCGCCAAATTAATTCGCCGGTTAAATTCGCTGAACCAACCCGCTATTTAGAATCTGTTAATATTATCTGCTAACTGTAATCATTGATTGCCAAACAAGCCCATTATGGTGTATTTTTATTAATTATATATTTATATTATTTATATATATGTGTGTGCGTGTCTTCACTGTCTCTTTCCAGTTTCCACTACCCTCATTACAATTTAATGGGAAATAATGTCAGTGGTAGGATGGTGTCGTGGAAGCGAACCACATTGATGGCAACAACAAGGATAGTGGGAAGGGGCAGTGACCCTGACGAATATTGTGGTATTCAATTGGACTAAAGTTCATATTATGATAATCACATTCAAAGAAACTTGTTATGTTTTACTCATATTCTCATAGTTTTCGCTTATATGTTCCTCTCATATTTATGAGGTTTTCTTTTGTTAATGAACTGTTGTAATATGTTCAAAGACAAATTGAGAATATAAAATAAAGAATTTTCACGATTCGACCCACTTATCCACCTCTTATATGATTCATACCAGTTTGGGATGAGGGGCATATTGAAATGTTTGTCTCACATTAATTAAAAAACAAAAAGCTGACGCACACGGTTCTAACCTACTCTACCTATTAGGATGTGGCATACGAAGATGTAATTAATCTTAGGGTAGTCATAAGGTGAAATTCCCTCATCTGGATAACAATTTCTTTTTGCTACCAGATTTAAACGTGTGATGTTTTTGATATGTTATTGGCGACATGTGAGAAGTTTTTAGATACATGTCAAACAAGATTTAAATTGATCATCCAAACCAAACTAGACCATACAAGAGTTGTAAAATCTAGTCTAAATTATCAAGTTCTAAGTGATAATATACTTTTTTACTATTACGTGTTCGTAGTCTCATCGACATCATTATTAAACATGCCTTTTAAAGTAACAACTCACAAGTTAAAATCTTTATAAAGTAATTTGGCTAAATAGTCGTATTGGTTGTGTACATGTTCGAGTTATTCGATTCACTCAATCAGTTATAAAAAGTATTAATCACAATTCACAACCATCAACTGATGTGAATTGTGATTTCTATTTCAACCCAAAAACAAATAGTCCATTTAATTTAGTAGGTCAATATCCAGATCTCCCTTTTTATTATATTCAATATGCTAAAGAGTCAAATGTGATCTTGCATCATTAGACTTTTCAATTCACCTCCCCAACCATAAAGTGTCACGTCATTACATGCTTTCTTTATCTTTTGCCCTTACCCCATTATGATCATGAGTGTAAGCGAGGGGCCCAACTTTGGTATGGACACACTTAAATATCGATTAAAACATTTATTTTCATATGCACATTTTCTTATGTGTTGATTTATGTAAAGAGTCACAAATGCTACTTTTTGTTCATGAAAAAAGTTCACAACGTCAGTGATTTTTAATACTTCATGGTCTAAAATTCAAGCTGACATTTATCATCCGGAATGGCCCGTTCAAGGGCGGCACCTCACCCACTCTCCTTGGTAATATTCAGAGATATATAAAATATATAAATAGTCAACTTTTTATTATTCATAGTTGCAAATGAAAAACATAAATATGAAAAAACTTTTGACGTCGTTAAGGGAATATGTCTTTTAGTTAAAACTTGGGTGTGTAAAGAAAATGATCAAATGTTTAGATAAAGTGAATATTGGATAGCGGAGACAAGCAATATTGCAATCATTTTTTAGTTACCACAATGTTGACAATTTTTGACGTTGTAGAGTAAGTTAAGTCATTCAAATGTGTACATTATTTATATCTAAGTAAAACAATTGATATGAAACATGATAAATGTACTAATAATTTTTTTTGCTCTGACGATGGTTATAATTAAAACTTCTAATACTTGATTTTGTGAATTGAACAACTTAAGAAAGTATATGAACCTAAATGATCATTTAATGCATGAAATTTATACCGCATTGCTAGAAGGTAAAAGTAAGGTTCCTAGCAGAAGATTCAAATTGTCCCATCCAAATAAATTTGACACACACATACACACACATATGCATGCATGATGCATGGATGTGTGTGTATGTAGTATGCCTATGTATGTTTGTGTTTGTGTATAATCTGGTTCAAATAAAAAATGTGCTTCCCGTGAGAATATGAATAAATTTGGTGACAATAAGTTATGTAAATTTGCTTCCCGTGAGAATCAAATTTGTAATCCAATGACTCTAATTATGTAAAAAACTGCAATAAGTTAGATACAAAACACAACAATTTTTTCTTAAACAAATCATAATTCTATTCGCTCAAGTGCACTCCCTAAATGCACTGTCGTACACTTGCACTATTTTAATATCACAAGTGCAGAAGAAGAAAATATCACTCCATATTTCACAATTTCATGAGAATGTCACTTTTTGCAATTATATTTTTATAATGTAGAGGTAAGAATGTGGTTACAAACTCTAGTGTCCGAAATCAATACAAAAATCGTAAGTGAAATTCTAATTCATGAAATTTGTTGCGGCATCATATTATCTATTTTTACGATATTTAACAAACTTTTTTATTAAAAGAGAAGAGTAAATAAATTAACATAATTAGAGAGGTCACCAAAATCCTAATCTTGTTTAAATTAATAATCTAGTCAGAGCAGTCAGCAGATAGTGCATTTTCATGTGCACTAAAGGCGGTAATAATATGATACATTTGTTAGTTTTTTATGTTATACATGAACTAACTTCTTCTTCATCCAATTGACAAGGGTGTTTTTATACACATACAACACCAAACAACCAACAAACAAACATACATATTTTACAAACAAGATTAAACAACAAAATAATGTACTTGTTGTACAATGATACCTCTTAATTTGGTTTGAAGTCACACGTAGATTCTGATTTTTTATAAATAACTCTCCATTTATATGTGTGGAGAAGGAGAATTAAGAAATTGTACCTTTATGAAAAGAGAATTAGAGACAACATCAAGCTAGCCAGTGAAATATGGAGAAAAAGAGTCCAACGAGAGCAGTAGAACTTAGGTCATGGATTTGTATTGGGGTTGAAATTTATGGTGTAATATTAATTCAATTTACTCGGGTTGCCTTTAATACACACATTACGTATACAACAATAAAAAGTTTGTTTGTCCCTCAACTGTATACAAAACGCCTTTTGTGTGTTGTTTTTATAATTGCAAAAATTTTGGATTATTTAATTCATAGGTTGCTTATGAGTCATGATGCATTCATTTAGAACTTTTAATAAGTTCTAACATTTCTTAAGCATTGAGCCAGGAGTTACTCGATTCACATTTGCAAATTAACAACAACTAAAATAAAAAAAAAAATTGATGGAAAAATATGTGAGCACCATGAAACGTAACATAGAATATATATATATATATATATATATAATAATTTTGCCAGTTTATCCTTTTATAAAGGAGCTACACATGTAACCCTCCTCTCATGGTTAAGAAAATGTTACACTAACTCACGACATAAAAAACTGCAGTATAACAGCCATATGTTTAAAAAGTAACCATGCTAGAATCTCAGAAGTAACTAAAATTGACTCCAAGTAAAACTTAATAAATTATATTTATCATTAATAAATGTGATAACCACCTGGATCAGGAATTTAATCAAACTTCAAACTGCTAAATATAGAGTATTATTTATTTGATTATTTCTTCACTTAAAACAATTAAACATTTATCATCCAAGTTCGAGGGTGTTGGCCTTAACATAAAACATCTATTACAATATAATAGCAAATTGATTTTGCTACAGTGTTCCCGCCCATTTCACTGCAGTCCATCCTGAAATCCGCATGTAGAGATGCACTGGATTAAACTATCATTTAATTTCATGGAAAATTGGATTTCGTGTGTGTTTTATTTACATGAGATGCCTTCATTTAATGCGTTTGTTACACATTTTCCAGATGAATGCCAACCGTTCGCCTAACCAATGCTTTGAATTTTAATTTTTAAATTTACTGTTTGCAGCAATTATATTCCAAATGCAAATACTGTCTATACAAATACTGACTCAAGTTTCAAGCTCTTCCCACATCGAGAAACTCTTAATTTGCCGGTCTTGGGAACATACTAGATTTAATTTTTTGCAGGCTGAATGTATTTCGATTTGTATATATATATATAGTGCTTCGGAGAGTCATCGATCAATTTGCATTTCAATTCATCTGACCCTGTAATTCCTACTCTTTCCTTTTCTTTATTCAAATTGTGGTTCATAGAGGATTTCCATCAAAGAAAATCATCTTGGGCTGTTAAAGTTGGTGCAGTGAGTGTATTTTAGTAGTAACTTCCTCCTACCATGGAGTATATTTCATGATGATGCTGAGGTGATTGAAAATAAACTACTGTAAATACTGATCAAGGATGATGGAATGGGATGCTAATTCATTGTGTACTCCGTACAAACTATGGCACACCAAAAAACTGAAGCAAAAATCAATGGGATTTATTCAAAGAAGTAAACAAAAAATGCTGCCAAGAGCTACTAAGAACACCTTCCTCCATGACTTCTCTCTCCCCATTACAACCAATCTGGAGTTTTTTGGGAGAACTAATTACTCCGTATTTTTTAATAAAAACAAAATGGGTGAAGAAGCTTGTATCACCAGTTTTTCCTCGAGCCCCACACACCTTATCACTGATAGAAACAACCACGATTTATGCTTTGTAATTAAAGAGAAAATACAATCCATACAAATGGACTATGTTGGAAACAAGATATATACAATATATTTTAGATAAATACAATATATATTTGCCCTGTACACACACATATTTGTTCATAAAAAGGAAATTATTTTACTGTTAAATATATCAACTGTAAAACTAAAATCTAAATATAATTTCAATTGTTAGTATTTCTACAAATAAAATTCTAATCATATTTAAAATACTCAAAAATAGTTGAATAATTAAATATTCTCATCGATAGGAAAATTATTTAGTTTGATAGAGACATATATAAGTGAAAGCAACACATAGGCATATATTTTATAGATATAGTCAAGAATAACATAATTTACAGAACCTGTTTCAACTTTAAAAAACAGAAAATTAAATTAGTAGTAGTCATATAAATGTAATTTTGGTATTAAAATTACTATCTAATACAATCACTAATAAGTAGGGAAATATTCTACTGATACACACATACCAGAAAACAATAATCGATGCAAAGTTATATTACAGGTATTTTTGATGATTTTACTGAAAAAATATCAAAAATAGTATCTGTATAACAAATACTCCGTATTATTATAGGTAGGAAAATCGAGTGATATACCTAATTTTCGAGCCTCATATGTAATCCACAGCCAAATCTTCGAATAAGCTAGAGAACACAACACAGGTTTCCAGTATAGTAGAAAGAAGAAAATCACCTTTACGATATGATAATATTTCATTGTTTTTATTAATTTTCTTGAGAATTTCACAAAACCAATCAAGGTTCATACACTTACAGTTGATTGAAGAATCAGATAATATGCATTGTACTTCGCAAGCAGTCTGTGTCACCCGTTTGCAGAGACCGGTGGTGGATCTGCTGGCTTAGCCGATGGGGCGTTGGGTTACGATGTGGCGCCGGTAGGCTGTACTTTGGTCAGTAGCTTAGTCGATGGGACACTAGGTCATGGTGCCGTGCTTTGGTCGGTGCTTTAGAAAGTCTACAAAGGAGAAGGGAAATGAACCATCTGGATGCCGCACAAACCCTAAAAATATGGCCTATATAGATTTAATTTTTCATTGTGGGCCTGTGTATTTTATATAGATTGGGCTTCCGTAATAAGTGTCTTATATAGTCTGTTTTGCATACAGTTGCTTATTGTTAGGAAAAAATAAGTTTAAATTATACTCTAAGGTCAACCCTAAACCAATATTCACATATGCTTTAGTATTTTTGATAATTGATTGCTTATGTACTCAAAAATATAAATCATTATATTTTTCCCTAAAATCATAGTAACAAATTAATGAAAAATAATTTCTACTCCCTTCATCCCGAAATGATTCGTTAAATTAACTTCTTAGTAAATGAAAATCAAATTTCACCAATTATATTTTTTAATCCAAAATATATTCTTGATCGTTTAATACAAAATATATTGAATACGAAAATTATATCAAATGTTCATTATTTGAAATTTTTCATAAAACTATAAAATTACCAAATTTTGTACAAATATAATAATTAAAATCATTGATTTATTATTTCATAGTAAATCAGTTATTGTGATATATCTGATTTTATTACAAGAAAAATGATGTATATTCCCTTCATCCCTAAAACATTCGTCAAATTGAATTTTTTTAGGAAATGACAATAAAATTGACAAATTACATTTTTAATTCAAAATGTTTTGAATATAAAGTTATATCAAAAGGTTCAGTATTTGAATTTTTTTCATAAAACCATAAAATTACTAATTTTTATGCATATATAATAATTAAAACCATTTATTTACTGTTTCATAGCAAATCACATTTGGAAAGTTGTTTCTAATTTAAACAATTTAACTCAAACTGTGAGATAAAGAAGAAGTCGAATCCAAATAATGGTTGATGAATGTGTTAAACCAACAGGTTGACAAAAATATTTTGTTGTTTACTGAATCAAATTCGCTAAAATTGACAAAAAAAATACCCCTGCTAAAACATTGGAATAAGTTATTTTTGTTTAGCAAAGTATTGTTTACACGATACTATATAAACTTTGAGGAGAATTAGCAATTGAATAGATTTATCTTTGTCAATCTCATAATTTGTCCTCAAGGATAATTCTATTTAATTGGTAATTTTGTATAGACTCTCACAAGCCATGTTATAGAGAAGTAAAACTTTTGGTATTCATTAGATCAAGATACATGGTCTTAAAACACAGAGTGAATATATTATAAATATAATTGATACAATAATTGAATAACAAATAATTTAAAGAAAAATTGAGACGTAAGGAGTACCTATCTTTTTTCTATTATCATCGAAATCAATATGCTTAAGCACATCAATGGTGTTTACTGATTTCACAGCAAATACACCGCTATTTTGTAAAACTAACTCAACGAATATACAAGTGTATGCATTCCCCTAGGGGAGGGAGCAGGAGATAAAGGCATATGTGTACACCGAAGAATTCGGGTATGAAAGGTGATGGGAAGGATGTGAGCTTCAAGAGGAATGGATCGGCGGGTGGTGATGTTGAGGTGAGGATGGCTGTCTGTGGAGTGCTTTGAAGACACAAGTGATATGATGAAACCAATGTTGTGTCGGCTTATCTTGAATCCTAAGAAAAATCCGTACATATACGGTAGGTGGGTTGATAGATGGGCGTATATATTGGGTTGGTTTTAGATTAGTCTAAAATGACCAATTTAACTTAATTTTATGAGACTAGAATAAATAAATATTGTAGATAAATATAGGATTCCGTTGAAATCACTAGAAATCTTCTTCTATCAATTTTAGGAGATCTAATTGCAATTGTTGTTGAGAGTGTTTATCCACAATATCTAAATGTGATTGAATATTACTGTTGAGAGTGTTTCAGCTACTTTTTAGAAAGGGCTATTTTAGGACCAACATGATTTCGCTTAATAGATTCCAAATGTAGAACTTATTTTAGTTCATGCACTCTATGCAAGTCAGATTTTAATGATGATTTACTTGCATATTTGCATATTTCCAATATTTTTTAATAAGATTTGTCTTTCAGGTTTAGCCAATCATGAGCCTACACTGAAAGTCAGTACCTCTATGATACTTATGTGAAACATAAACCATTCAATGTGATTATGTAATGGTACTCGATTCATAATTGGAAGGTTGGGTAACCATGTTTTAGAAGCCAATCTTATCACTGGCAGGAGCATGGGTGAATGCATTCTCATTTCAAGGTTATCACTAACGCTTTCAGATGCGAAAATGCATTTCAAATTTCAGATGAGTCAATTTCCAATAATGGTCATTTATGTAATACTACTAACAAAAATGAAGGTCAGTCTCTCCCATGTAGGATTGTTGTTAAAAAGTCAGATTTCTCTCATGTATGATCAACTCTACATTGCGGTTACAAGAGTTACCAATAGCGAAGGGGTGAAAAATTTATTGAT